ATTTGTTAACTCATTCTGTGAGGCCAACATCATCCCAATACAAAACCAGGGAAAGATATTACAAGAAAAGATAACTACAGACTAATATTTCTCATGAAGACACATGTAAAAATCCTCAACCAAATATTAGTATATCAAGTCCAACAATGTATAAAAAGAATTATGCACCACGACCAAGTGAAATTTATCCCAGGTATGCAAGGTTGGTTCAACACTTAAAAATCAGGCAGGGCACAGTGGCTCCCACCTTTTAATCCTAGCACTCTGGGAGGGTGAGGTGGATAGATTGCTTAAGCTCAGGAGTTTGAGACCAGCCTGAGCAAGAGCAAGACCTCATTTGTACAACTAGCCGGGCATTGTGATAGACACTTTTAGTCCCAGCTACTCAGAAGGCTGAGGCAAGAGGATTTCTTGAGCCCAGGAGTTTGAGGTGGTTGTGAGCTATGTTGCCAGGTCACTCTGCCAAGGGCAACAAAGCAAAACTCTTGTCTCAAAAAGAAAAAAAAAAAAGATAATGAAAATCAATCTAATCTGTCACATGACTAGCTAAAGAAGAAAGTCATACGATCATATCAATAGATGCAAAAAAAATTTGATAAACTCCAACTATTTGTGACAAAAATTCTCAGTAAGCTAGGAATGGATGAGAACATCCTCAACTTGATAATATCCACAAAAAACCTACAGCTAATGTGATACTTAATGGTGACAAACTAGAAGTTTTTCTGCTAAGATCAGGAGCATGGCAGGTATGTCCCCTCTAACCACTGCTTTTCAGCATTGTAGTGGAAGGTCTAGCTAATGCCATAAGAAAAGGAAATAAAAGGTACACTAATTTGGAAAGAAGAAATAAAACTATCCTTCTTTACAGTTGACATGATTGTCTACGTGGAAAATCCAGAAACACTCCTGAAATTAATAGCAATTATAATGATGTTGTAGGATAGAAGTTAATGTACAAAAAGCCAATTGCTTTTCTATATACCAGCAATGAACAAATGGAATTTAAAATTAAAAACACAAACACAATTAAAAACTGTTCCTAGGCCAAGTACGGTGGCTCATGCCTGTAATCCTAGCACACTGGGAGTCTGAGACAGGAGGATTGCTTGAGGTCAGGAGTTCAAGACCAGCCTGAGAAAGAGTGAGACCTGATTTCTACTAACTACAGAAAAATTAGCTGGGTGTGGTGGCTCATGCCTGTAGTCCCGGCTACTTGGGAAGCTGAGGCAGGAAGATTGTTTCAGCCCAGGAGTTTGAGGTTCCTGTGAGCTAGGCTGAGGCCATGGCACTCTAACCTGGGCAACAGAGTGAGACTCTGTCTCAAAACAAACAAAAAACAAAGAACTCGGCTCGGCGCCTATAGCTCAACCGGCTAAGGCGCCAGCCACGTACACCTAAGGTGGCGGGTTCGAATCCCCAGCCCGGGCCCGCCAAACAACAATGACGGCTGCAACCAAAAAATAGCCGGGCGTTGTGGCGGGCGCCTGTGGTCCCAGCTACTTGGGAGGCTGAGGCAGGAGACTCGCTTGAGCCCAGGAGTTGGAGGTTGCTGTGAGCTGTAATGCCACAGCACTCTGCCCAGGGCGACAGCTTGAGGCTCTGTCTCAAAAAAAAAAAAAAAAAAAAAAAAAAAAAAACAAAGAACTCTTAAAATGCAATAAGAAGACAAATAGTTAAAAATGAGCCAAGCACTTTAATAGACACCTCATCAGAGAAGGTATGCAGATAGGAAACAAGCATATGCAGAAATGTTCACATCACATGTCATCAGGGATATGCAAATTAAAACAATAATATACATACACACCTATTGGAGTGGTCAAAATCCCAGAACACTGACAATATCAAAGTGAGTAAGGGTATGGAGCAGTAGGAACTCTGTTTCATTACTGGTGGGAGTGCAAAATGGTATAGTTCGGCAGTTTTAAACTAAAGTAAATATATTCTTGCTGTAAGATCCAGCAATTGCTCTCTTTGATATTTACCCAAAGGAGATGAAAGCTTATGTCTACACAAAAAAACCTGCACATGGATGTTTATAGCAGCTTTATTCGTAATTGTCAAAACTTGGAAGAAACCAAGATGTTTTTCAGCAGATGAATGGATAAACTTGGTATATACATACAATGGAGTATTAATCAGCACTACAAAGAAATGACCTATTAAGCTAAAAAAAGACATGGAGGAAACTTAAATGTATATTACTAAGTGAAAGAAGCAATCAGAACTGGCTGCACACTGTATGATTCCAACTTTACGACACTCTGGAAAAGGCAAAACCGCGGAGTTAATAAAAAGATCAGCGGTTTCCAAGGGTTGCCCAAAGGGTGAGATAAATAGTCAGAACACAGGACTTTTAGGGCAGTGAAACCATTCTGTATGATCCTTTAATGGTGAATGTATTACATTTGCCCAAACCTATCAAGTGTACAACACCAAGAGTGAGCCCTAATGCAACATACAGACTTTGAGTGATAATGATGTGTCAATCCTTGTCACTCCTGCTGGCAGGGACCAGATCTCTCTTACTCTTGTATTCCCTACCACTAGCTCTGCATTTTGCCTGAGAGCGGGTTCATAAGTTGTAAGAACATCTGGTGTGGGATGTTGATAATGAGGTTGGTTATGCATGTATGGCAGCAAGGGTTATATGGGAAATCTCTGCCTTTCTCTCAGTTTCACTATGTCCCTAAAACTGGTCTAAAAAAATGTGTGTGTGTGTGTATACAGGTATATGTATCTCTCTCTCATACCAAGAGCCTAACACGTAGGGTTGTCTTTTTTTTTTTTTTTCACATTATCTCATTTTCTGACATTAATGGTGTTGGTGCAACATAACTGAGTTATATATCTACACCAATATCATCCTGCTGTATTTTTGACTCCAAGCTATTATAAGATTTCTGAGTGCCTAATCAGCATGAATTGAAACTTTAACTAAAAGCAGGCATTTTTATGGGCATATTGTCTAGATTCTCTGGGCCTTATATATTATAAATGAAGAACTGAGACCCAATGGGAGAATTAGGGAACAAATATATATGTATATACTCCATTAGACCCAAGGACAGTAGAACCACCCTGATTGTTTGCAGTACAAACAGAAGTTTAGCAATGCACAGACAGGCAGTCTCTTATATAAGCCAGCTGACTATTTAAGACCTTATTAAAAAAAGTCAGCCCTCTCTCAACCATGTTAAATAACAAATGGACAATGCCAAATATAGACACTACAGGTAACCAATATTCCTTTCCAGACTAATGCTATCCAAGAGTTTTTCCATGAACGCTTTTTTATAGGAACGTTATGTGTAGTGCTTAGTATAGGTGAATAGACAAGTGTTTAAAGGGTTTTATTTTTCCCTTTTCAGTTCTCTTTCTCTTCTGTGTATATATCTGCATGGGGGTGGGAGAGAAAAAGAGAAGCATAAAGCATATATGCACAGTTTATAAATGGAAAGCAAACAGCCTTGTAAACATCATCAAAATCATGAAGTAGGCTGGGCTCGGTGGCTCATGCTTATAATCCTAGCACTTTAGGGAAGCCAGGGCAGGAGGATCCTTTGAGGGCAGGAGTTCAAGACCAGCCTGAGCACAAATGAGATCCCTGTCTCTACAAAAAGAGAAAAGAAAAGATACATTAGCCAGATGTGCTGGCTAGTGCCTGTAGTCTTAGCTTTTTGGGAGGCTGAGGCAGGAGGATTGCTGGAGCCCAGGAGTTTGAGGCTGTAGTAAGCTCTAGAGTACAATGACCCTGTAGTACTCTAGCCCAGGTGATGGAGCAAGACCGTATCTCAAAAACAACAACAACCAAGAATAGGATATTGCTGGCTCCCAAGAATGCCCCCTATTTAAAATACATTTCTGTTCTGTGGCATGACACAAGAATACCCTTGTTTTCTTGGTGTTTATTATGTCAAGTGAGCAATCAATAAGGCATAGGTATATCAGGACGGTGTGTGTATTTCATCATAAAATTTGTATTTATCACATCACAGTATCCACAAAAAGCTGCTTATGCAATAAAAATTATATACTAATATGGGAAAGACAGCTACAGGGTGAAATATAATAGTGAATTCCCATGTAGCAGGTAGTGCCAGGATGTGGATGCCTCATTTGCAACAAAAGCAAGCACTATTTCTTAAAATCTGATGGAAAAATCATAGGAGGTGGAGGGAGGGTGTTCACTTTTGGCAGTATCTTTCCTAGGAGTTTATAACTCCTCCCTGCCACATCCTGAAACATAAATTAATTTTCTCCTCCTAGCTGCTGGTTCTCCTTTCTTCCCTCCCTCCCTTCCTTCATATATTCCACTCTAGACTCTCACCAGTTCCTGACACTGTCATCTCATACCTCTGGGCTAATAACCATAGACCCAGGGACAATGGAGCACCTAGGCAGTTTGCAACAAGTTCCCCCGGCAGTCTTGCATATGAGCCTCCTCCTTCTTGGAATACCCTCCTTACTGTCCTCAAGGAAGTCCTGCCTTTCTTAAAAGCTGGGCTTAAATCTCATCGTCTTAATTGTCTTGAGATCACTCAGTTGGATTTCATCTCTTCCTACTGCCCATATCTTAGGTCTGTTTTTTAGGACTGATTGCTGTGGTTTATGTTAGAGCAGTTTTGGTAGGTGCCTCTCACTTCTGCTGACAGTAACCAGATCTCTTACTCCTATATTCCCTACCACCAGTTCTGCGCTTTACCTGATAGCCGGCTCGCCAAACGGTGCAACTGATTTGTTCCATCTAGTACAATTAAAGTGTAATCAATTGGACAGAAATTTTTTATGTGGAATCTTAGGCATATTGTCTATAAAATTCCCATTAAAAGTGAATACATGTTGAATATTTTGAAGCTACACCTTTTAAAATGTACCTTTTCCACTAGTAGAGAATTAATCATACAATGTTGTGTAGTCATAAAACAAAGGATAATGAAGTTCAAGTTTACAACCTGTATTAATCTATTGTTGGTGTCCTTATCCATTCTGTATAGTCACTTCAGCTTTCCCCAGGACAATATGATGTGCTTCCCGCACCAGTTCCCAGGTACCCTTCCAGGTAATTATATACTTATTAATTAAGCTACTTTTATTTTATTTTATTGCATTTTTTTGAGACAGAGTCTTACTTTGTCACCCTTGGTAGAGTGCATGGCATCATAGCTCACAGCAACCTTGAACTCTTGGTCTCAAACAATCCTCTTGCCTCAGCCTCCCAAGTAGCTGGGACTACAGGGGCTTGTCATAATGCACGGCTATTTTTAGAGATAAGGTCTCGCTCTGGCTCAGGCTAGTCTCAAAACTGTGAGCTCATGTGATCCACTCGCCTTGGCCTCCCAGAGTGCTAGGATTACAGGCGTGAGCCATTGCATCCGGCCCAAGGAAGCTACTTTTCATCATGCCATGCATGCCTTTCTACTTACATACTCAGATACCAATATTCATGTATTTGAAACCTCATTTATGTGTCTCATATCCAGATTAGCATTTTTAAATATTTAGTGAGAGATAGGTAATAAGTTAAAAAAGATCTTCTCTTAAAAAACATAGATTTAGGGCTTGGCACCTGTGGCTCAAGTGGCTAAGGCGCCAGCCACATACACCTAAGCTGGTGGGTTCGAATCCAGCCTGGGCCCACCAAACAACAATGATGGCTGCAGCCAAAAAAAAAAAATAGCTGGGCATTGTGGCGGGCGCCTGTGGGGTCCCAGCTCTTGGGAGGCTGAGGCAGGAGACTCACTTGAGCCCAGGAGTTAGAGCTTGCTGTGAGCTGTGATGCCACAGCACTCTACTCAGGGGGATAGCTTGAGGCTCTGTCTCAAAGAAAAAAAAAAAACCAACATAGATTTAGAAAATCATGTTTTTTCTTTCTTTTTAAAATATAGGAGCTTTGTATTTCGTTCTGCAGTTCAAAGATTCCCAACAAGCTTTTTCATTCCTGTAAGTATAATGTAGATAATTAATTCATGGCTAATTTCATGTTTATAATATATAGCAAATCCTTTTGATATATTAAGAATTTGCTCATTATAGTAGATAAGCTATGAATAATCAATGTAATTGATTATTTTATGACATACTTAAAGTATGTCTGAAGATATAGTAGGGATTTCAACGTAGGAAAGCCATTTGTGGCAAGTTAGAGGAAAATGTTTGGCTCCCTGACTTTCTTTAGTTCTTGACTCAAGTACCACTTTCTCAGTAAGGTCGTCCCTAGTGATCTATTCAGAATTTCCCTTCCATGGTTTATTTTTTCTCTATAACGTTCAATCATCACTGTCTGATACACTAGACTTAGTTATCTATCTTGTTTTTATCTGTCTTCCCCACTACAGTGTAAGCTTCATGAGGCAGGGATGTTTGTCCTGTATGTCCAGCACCTAGAGAAGTGGCTGGTACATAATATTTGTTGAATTAATTAATTAAATTATCAGAGTTAGCCTGGGAACAGGGTCTCACACTTGTGGGAGGCTGAGGTGGGAAGATCACTTGAGGTTAGGAGTTTGAGACCAGCCTGGGCAATATAGCCAGACCCCATCTCTACAAAAAAATTAAAAGATTAGCAAGGCATGGTGGTGCATGCCTGTAGTCCTAGCTGATCAGGAGGCTGAGGTGGGAGGATGCTTAAGCCCAGGAGTTTTTGTTTTTGTTTTTTTTT